ATATATATATATATATATATATATAGCATATTTATTTGCAAAGATGAAGCAAATTTGTGTCGGCAATTTCTAACTGACTCATTCTATTCTTTTTATTTTTCAGTCGCATTGTCATCTCAGAAAACAAAATGCCAGTCACAAATTCCGAAACTTAACAAAAGCAGAGTTCTAAACAATTAATGCCTGTTTATAGCGGGATGTATGACCTGAAAGTTCAATAGCAAAGACGCTTATTGCTGAGAGCGTCTCATGTTTCAAGTCCAGACGTTAATTTGTAGAACTTTTGTCGCGTTTGAACTTCCTTTACTTATTGGCCTACTGTCTCACACCCTAATTACATCAACAATCTACTATGGACTCACATTCTGGGTCCAGGCATAGTCTTTTAATCCTCATGAAACAATAGGCGACTAATATTTCCAGTTGGATAGTTTATTTTCATCTGAAAACGAGGCTTCTAAAATGGCGTACATTGGAATGGAAATTTTACTCGTTAATTTTAAATCACCATTTTCTGTATTTGTATCCTACAGACATGTACATCTGGTTATCTGCCACAACTGATTGGTTACAGGTTAGTCTCAAAAGGTTACAATTTTACAAGAACGATTGTAATAAGCCAATCTTAATAAAATGCGTAACTTTTCAAATTCTTTAATTTTTAAGACATCAGTTTAAAAATTGATGAGATTCTTTATAATATTTGTTCCAACATCTGGAAACAATTCAACATCTCAGAAAGGAATAAGTTAAAAACCAAAAATAAAAGTTTAAAAAATACGGTAAAACAAAAAATATCAGTTTAAAAAACAGAAAAATTTTGCCTACTACCAGTAAAATAAAATAAATACACCTAAGTGTACGTGAATTCATGCATATATTCTTTGGTCTATCTCAGTGATGCGACAAAGCTTTTTTGCTGTAGTTATTACTAATATTACGATTATGGATGCAGCAAGTGGAGTCCGCAAGCCAAATTCAAATTACTTCAGTCGCGTTCACTTTCGCATAAATATCCTTGAGAAAAGCATAAATTTATTTTACATTCCCAGCTATGGGTTAAATAGCCGGGTAGCCTGAGGTCTCTAGCCTTTGTTGGCAACCAGCTGAAAAGAAAGACCACTCTGAATTTAAAAAAATGAAAAGAAAAAATAGGGAAGACAAGAATAAGCCCTACTGCCACCTTTCCTTAAAAGTTCACAGATAATAAAGAAAAAAGCTGTGGTGAATGATTATCAATTACGCCATGAAAGTATATGAATTTAAAAATACCTGAATTGCAAGATGGTGATAGGAGAGTGATTTTCTATATCCTATCTCACCGATACTGTTATTCATAAACTATTATTGGATATTTTTTAAAGATAGGTGATTGATTGAACGTAGGGAAGAGGTTTTATGCCTTTTCTAAAGGCACCAGTGTGAAGTGAATATAAGCAGTTGATTTGATTATGACTCCCTTATTCGTATTCTTTACTATAATTTCGCTTACATTCCTCCTTCTCTCTCTCTCTCTCTCTCTCTCTCTCTCTCTATCTCTATCTCGTCCTCCCGACAAAAAGATAAACTCGTCATTCGACTATATATATATATATATATATATATATATATATATATATATATATATCGAGATCGATCCCAACGTACGGCACCTTTGGAAAGTGCCTGAAAACCATACTACTGGTTGACCCAAGCCTTGTGAGTGAAATTGGGTAGACAGAACCCTTGGGGGGCCGTCGATAAAAGCCACAAGTCATTCTGGCCGAGAGCTTGAGCGTGCTGGCCTTGTTCAAATTGTTGATCATGCTCTCTACCAGAAACTGTAACTAAGGTCTGCTCAGCATAGTTGCAGTATAAACTACAGGTGAGCTCTGTGGGTGTTGAGCGAACACAAATGTGCCCGAGCAATAGAGATTGGTTAGCCGCCCTAGTAGACGGGTATCCTCGAATACGAGTGGCCAACTATTATATATATATGTGTGTGTGTGTGTGTGTGTAAAAATTCTCAAAATTAGAATTCTGTAGAAATTCTGTAGAAAAAGACAATATGAATAAAGGAAAAAAGACAATAGAAAAATTGTATATAGCTTTAGCCGAGGTGTTTCGTCCACTATGGACTTTACCAAGGCAAAGAACGGAATGAATTTATTTGAAGAAAGTATCTATAATCTATATTTGTGCAGAATTTTCTGCTTTGAGTCTCTCAAAAAAATGCAAGCTGTCCGAAGCAAACCTCCATTACATTCAATAAGAATTCTATCGTTCGGTCTGTATTAATAATTAATAATTAATTATACTTAATATCGAATTGTTTTAACCACTTACACAATTTTGAACTGTTAGAATCTATTTGCTAAAAATTGATTTGCTGAAATCTCTTTCTTAATAATGATCTGTCAAAATGCACACACACACAAGGATACATGGCACAGTGGATAAAGGCGTTGGTTAGATCCAGTGACCCAAAGAGTGTGAGTTCAATACCCGGTTAAGGCAGTGGAGAACTTTCAGAGGGAAATTAACAGGATATAACTGATAACTGACATCCATCAAACATGGCACGTGGAACTAGAACAGTCTACCCCAGTGAGCGTAATAAAGGGTTCAGTTCGAAATTCCAACCACCTGAAGAAGGCCGGAGCGTACAACGGCCGAAACGTTGGGATAAATATGGCGACAAAGATGAGGACAATAGTCCTAATAATGTAAATAATATATATATAACTATATGAAAATTTTCATCATGAGTGTGCTGGATTGGCAGTTTCTTGGTTGCTGCACCTGACTTGTAGTAAAGAGCACGAACTCTTGTAGCGCGTAGAGAGGCATAATATCGGGGTATTTGTTGTGTCATGTGGTGCATGGATAGGTGTCCCTGTATCTATTTCCAGCAGGCTACCCTGAGGCTACATTATGCTTTAGCCTGTGCCACCTTCTGACCAGTTTGTATTGCCATAAACGATAATAATTATTTGGGCCTTTGCATTCTTAAAACTAAATCTTCTTATGACAGATGAAAGGAAAAGTAATGCGAGTAAACTAGTAAATAAAATATCACCTACCATCTCAACACTTCTTTCTCCAATATTTGTGGTACTCTGTACCGATTTCTGTAGTGTATAATTTTTGTCTTAAAAATTGTCCAAATACCATCGCACTTTGCAGAACCAATTTAAATTATTCTATTGCTACCAATGAATTATCTGTTCCAGACTATCTTCCTCTTTTTCGAAAAGTTTCTATGATACATATGCATGGCCTTGGTGGAAAAATCTTCCAGTTGCAAAGGACTTGTCTCTTGAGTTCTTTGATTTGTTGTCTTCTTTCTTTATTGCAGTCCGTTAGCTATCTATTTTTCGTTTATCGTTCTCCTTCTTCTCAGGACTGTAACATATTAGACAAAATCCCTGACAATATAGAAATCTCTCTCTCTCTCTCTCTCTCTCTCTCTCCTCACTCCCATTCATATGCGAACATTTCTGTGTTTGGTGATTTTAATGCTCATCTCGTCAAATGGCTTAAACATTCTAATTTTACTGATGTTCCCGGTATTCAGACTTTCACTTTTTCCGTTACTCAGTCTCTCAGTGAAATAGTAGATTTCCCTACGCAAACCATGCTATAGTATCTGCTGATATTTCTTTTGAATCGTCTGTTAGACAGGAAACTCCTATACACAAGACTTTTTTTCTGTTACCAGCGTCCTGATTAGGATTCATTTCGTGACTTTCGTCGAAACACCCCTTGGATTGATATTCTTAAGCTTATTACTGAGAATTGTATCATAGAGGTTTCTTCTTGAGTTAAAGCTGGAATCGATGCTTTTTATACCTTCTCAAATCAATCTTGTTCAAAATTGATTCCCACCGGTCTGTTCAGCTGCTACAGCCCACAGGAATCACTTTTTTCAGGCTGTACCAGCGTCAGATATCCGAATATTACAGATGCTTATTTGTCTGTTTGTAATAATTGTAAATGTGTCCTCAAAGATGCTAAGTCTTTGCTGATCGAATGAGACACCATAGAGCCTCTAACAAGTTTGGTTCTCGTGAATACTGGCGGCTGTGTAATAGTGTGTCAAATAAGAGTAAATCTCCTATCACTCCTTTCTTCACTCAATTTGAGGTGTTAACATTTTCTGCTGATAAAGCAGAATGTTTTGCTCGTAAAGTCTCTTCAAATTCTACTTTTAACTCATGTGGAGTATCTTTGGTTGACTTTTTACATAAAAATGAGAATGAGAGTGATATACATATAACTCCGTCTATGGTTTCTGCTATTCTTTTTAAACTGGATCCCCACAAAGCACACGGACTAAGTAATGTGCTCCTGAACTGACTTCTGTTCTCTCTATACTTTACATTAAATGCTTTGTTGCTTCTTGCTTTCCTTTTTATTGGAAATCCTCTTCTGTGGTTCTATTCATTAAGAACTCAGGCGAACTGTCTGATCATTCTAATTATCGACCTATTAACCATCTACCTCTTCTTGGTAAATCACTAAATGCTCTAATCAACTCTGAATTGGTTAGGGACGCCACCTCGCAGGATCTTCTTTCAGATAAGTAATATAGTTTTCCCTTTTCTATGTTAACTGTTGATGTATTAACGATTATTGCTAAAAGAGTCTATCAAGTTTTAGATAAGAATTGTGAGGCACAGGCTTTTCTTTGGATATTTCGAAGGCATTTGATGTTTGGCATGTTGGTCTTCTTCCCAAGTTGGTATTTCTGGTAGAATTTTTTAACTAATTCAGTCTTTCAAATCACGAAATGAAAGCCTGTCTTGAGCAGCCATTCATCCAGGTCTTATTGCATTAATGTAGATATCTCATATGGCTCTATCTTTGTTCATCGTTTCCATCAACAACCATCTTTACGTTACCAGTTCACAACTCGGTTTCTATGCAAATGGCACAACTATTTACTCCTGTTTTATTAGTCTGATTGGTTGGATAAGATCGAATAAGTCAGCTGATTTAAAAAAAAATTATAAACTATTGTTAAACGGGGCAAGTAGTGGCTTTTTAATTTTAACGCCTCCAAAATGAAACTGCCCTCTTTTAATCGTGTGAGAGAAACCTTCTTATCTTCCCCTAGCATAGCTGGTGCTAACCTCCAGGCGACTAACTCATTCACCTTCTCGGACTAACCTTTTTCCACTGAGAGGGTGTAGAAGGGTATATTAAACCAATTGTTGAAGTCTGCAGCTCGAGAGTTTCATTGTGCCGAGCTAGAGGAATTTTCCTCTCCAGAATCTATCTTACATATTTATAAGTTGACAGTTGGTTCTTACTTTGAATATTGCTGTCACATCTGAACTGTTGCTCCTGCTATATATTTAGAGATTCTTGTTAAAACCCAAAGAAGAATATGCAGTGTTATTGACCATTACCTTACATTTCGGATTTAGTCACTTCCCCACAGCCGTAGCGTAGCTTCCTTATGTCATTCCTATAAATACTTTCATGGAAATTTTTCTGATGATATTTCTTCTATGCTAACTAGACTTTATGAATTTAAGCTCTATATTAGAGTGGCGGAAATGTATAATAATTTTATAGTTGAAAGGGCGAGATGTAACCGTAAGTTCTGTGCTAACAGTTTCTTCTCTCGCACTTCTCGATTCCTGCTTTTTGCTTCCCAATCAACTTTTCTCTTCAGAAATTTAAATGCAATGTGAATCATTATCTTCTGTCTTCTTAATTCCCGTTCTTTTATTGTTATCTCTCGTTCATAGTGTTTTTTCTCATACTTTTTTCACGCTCAGCAACTTTACCTGCCTTGCTAGTGATGGAATGATTATATATATATATATATATATATATATATATATATATATATATATATGTTATAAATAGTATGAATTGTGTCTTTGATTTTAGGGTGGGCCGTTTTTCTCTTTTATTGAGGTCCCAATCCTCATATAACCTCAAGGTTCTAGAGAATCAGATCCCGTGGGCCTTCCCTCTGTAAACAGAGAGAATGCTTACTCGGTCTGAATGTTATGGACTGCAGCTTTCTTGAAATTCATATTTTTCCCTCCATTGCTTATCATTAATATCAATTAAACTTACACGTTTATTTTTTATATCCCAGAAATAAACTTGATAAGGCTGGGACGAAACCGGTTGTTTTTTAGCTTTTAAAATATACATTAAAATGCCATATAAATTATCGTTATTCTTAGCTATCCTTAAATTTTGTACTACAAAAAACTTATATATATATATATATATATATATATATATATATATGTGTGTGTGTGTGTGTGTGTGTGTGTGTGTGTGTGTGTGTGTGTGTGTGTGTGCATGTATTTGTGTATATATATATATATATATATATATATATATATATATATATATATATATATATATATATATATATATACACAAAATATACGCACAAATATATGTGTGTGTGTAATAAAAATGTGTTTCACATTCATCCATATTAATAAGAGATTGGAGAATTTAATAATTGAATAGTTTATGACCAAGGATCAACTTATAGAGAAGGAAACTGAGAAGAAGTTGCTAAGAAGAAAGTACAATGAGAAGGACATTATTCAGTAAGACATAAGACGACAATTGACGTTACATCAATTTTTTGAAGATCATAGCTGACAGGAAAGCAAGAAGCTGGAAGAGAGTTATAAGGCGATAAATGAGAAAGAAGAACGCGTTAAAATAGGACTTGCGCTTAGACTTAACAAATTCAACAGTAAAATGATGGTATATTACTGCTAATATAGAACTACATTTTTGTTCGAAATTACAAGTATAGACTTAACCTACTGATTAGAAACATTTCATAAAACATATTTAACGGCTAAACCTGGGAATCGAACTCGCTTCCCGTAACTAGTGTATTTAAATAGATTTTCAAGAGTAAAACCTACCTGACGGCACAAAACCCTGTTTTTCATGGGCTGGAACGCTATTTTCATTCAAACATGACGATTTGTCCTTATCTGAAGTCATTCTGTAAATGCCCTGTTGTACTTTATTCTGAAGTAAAGACAAACTCAGTCCTGAAAGCTCCCTGCTGCTCCCTCCACCACTTCCAGAGCCGCCTCCGCTTACACCTCCTCCAGCCAGCAACCTTTGGCTGACACCTTCCTGAACATCGACCTGATTTGCCAGAGTCTCCGGTGACTGTTGCAATTTTCCATTGGAACCAATGTAGACGTTGCGCTGTCGATTGTGCAATAGGATCTGGCTCGGGAAATAAGAGAAAGCAGATTTCGTTTCCGATGTCATCTCCCCACCAGACATCACTTCGGAAGGCAAGGTTACAGGCACCGGGGCCAGACTGTAACAAGTGCTGGGTGACGGAGACAACCCTGGTTCCTTTTTCACAATAATGCATGATGTCGTGGTAGGTGAACAAGTCGTACGATAGTTGGTAGAACTCCAAGTTTTACTGTCCTTGACCAATGGGCTCGGACTAACTGCTGCTTCTGAGGTAGACAAAGAGATCGGTAGGTTTACTGGTTCCTCCTAAAATAACAGGAAAAAGAAAAATATGTAGTAATTTGAAATGATCATCTCACAATACGTACCTATATATTGGTCTAGCACAAGATCAAAAAGTGGAGCACCCATTTAAAAAAGAACTCACTTCAACAACGAACTGATTTTCAAGCCGATCGTTAGAGCATTAGAGTAGAAACTCTGTCTAATTATTCCCATGTATTCTGGAATGCAAAAGACGGCAGTTAATATATTTGTGTTTTCTACTAGTATGTTTCTAATGGAGTCTGGTAAGTTTGTGTGTGTGTGTGTGCTTAAATGGGTTCTAATGCAGCTGTGATAAGATAGGTGTGAACAAACAGCGAAAAATTACATACACATTTATTACAAAAACCAAATGCATATTAATTACAAACAAGATGAATCTTCTCTAAGGCATATTATAAAGAAATATGCTACTCCAATTGACCCGAATAAAAAAATCAAATTAATTATCTATTATAAAAAATTTAAGACAGCTAACCTTATCCTCAAAAATAACAACACACCAGTTAAGTCAAAATTACAAAAAATGAACATTATCTATGAGTTCAAATGCCCCTTAAGGAACAGTGTTCCTGATCAAACCGGACTCATAAATAATTACATCAGTTACACAACCACATGCTTATCCAGACGTCTTACGTTACACCTATCTGATCACAGTTCCATTAGAACCCATTTAAACACACACACAAATTTGCCAGACTCCATTAGAAACATACTAGTAGAAAACACAAATATATGAAATGTATCCACCTGCAAAAAATAGACTAAAAATAATGGAAGCTTTAATAATAAAAAAGAAAAAGCCAACTCTTAACAATATTAACTACGAACAAAGCCACAATGTGCTAACTGTATTCGGAAATTAAAAACATCCCTACCACACACTAAGACATACACAGAACGCACACACTCAATTAAGCTGAAAAATCGAATCATCCTTGATAATGGCTAAACCGTAGTACCTTGTCTGTCGTTTTTAATGAAACATGCGTAAAGGAAGGATTGCTGCCTATATATATATATATATATATATATATATATATATATATATATATATTCAGGAAGCTTCTTAAAGGGGCCTGTAGATAAAATTAAGAATATGGAACATCTATATACGATATTAATTATACTAACTGGACGGCAATACACAGAAATATTTAAGCTAAATAAACAAAATAAGGTAATTACTCGTAGCGGGTGGAATTTTATATACTAATGAATTATGGCTATAAGTAATGTCTTTTTTTTTTTCAAAGATGCTCCCAGTCGTAGTTTATTGACATACCCAAGAATATTTCATTTAGTTATTTTCTGTTTATATTTTTTATCATTTTTTATTATGTATCGCACATTGTAATAATAGATGATCTTCCAAGAAAGTTAAAATGTTATAAAAACCTTCACGCAAATTTACTGTAATTGATATTTGTGCACACATGCACACGAAGGTCATCCACAGTAAAGTTTTGATAAAGTTCTAATGGACGTAACGCATCACACAAATTTCTTTTTTACCACTATGTCATTAATTTTCCTAATATATATATATATATAAAATCGAGAAGTCAATTAAAATACGCGACCTTATACACACACACACACATATATATATATATATATATATATATATATATATATATATATATATATATAAGTAACAATAAGATGGAGTCGGACTGGTAATAGAATAATTATTTCAATACTCCATCTAAGCAAAAATATAATAATAATTTTAACTAATATTTCCATTAACAACTCCCACCGTGCGGTGGCAATATATCAGCTTTTGAGTTCAAATTATTGTTTAAAATCAGGCACACGGGAATCTTGAAAATGACAACATATTGAGAAAGAAATCTCGGTTTCATGTCAACAATCGCCAATCCTACGACTTTAAAAGATGGAGTGGTCATCTGGCTTGTAATCCGGTTCCGTAAATACGAAAAACAAACTATCCTGACATTGTTAATATTTTACGCACCACCAAAGCAAAGCAAAAAAAAGTTAACACATTTAATGATGTCTCGATAAAGAAAAAAACGTTTCGTAAGATTGATTTCTGTTAAGTACAAAAAGGATTTAAAAAATGGTGTATTCGATAAAATTTATAAAAAAAAGCTGCTATGGTTCCAGATTTGACACACGTGAATAATATCTATTCAACAACAATAATAATAACTAGAAAGACCCATGAAAATTTCACGGTTTCCCTAATTAAATCTTCTGATAAGTCTTAATTATTTACACTTAAGTTAATGACTGAATAAGCTCATAGACTGGTCTATGACAGTAAAATAGTATTCGTACAACACCCTAGACGGTCGTCAACACCGCGGCTAGTCAATGAAGTGACCGCTTCAATCCAGAGTTTAACTTATCCCAAGTTGTGATTCACGTTTGATCATAAGACAGCCAAGATCGAATCGTCGCAGATATCTTCGTGTTGGGCTGGTCCAAGCAGGACGATGACGTACAGAAAAAAAAAAACACTCGAATAAATTGAACAAAAATTAAATACTGTTTTTATATCAGTCCTTTATACAATAATTTGTTATATCAGAGTTCGCATGCAATTAATTATAAACGCAACCCGCATCTAAATCGGAAGTGATATTATTGTTGTCTTGGCAAAGTTTGATTTGCTGCTTGGTAAAGTTTCGCACAAGGCTGAAGCCAGAGGCTTTCGTCGGCAGATAATCACGTAGGCCCCTCTCCTGTTTTCTGGTCTCGTCTACGTCTCTTCTGCCTAATTCGCTTCGTGCATTCGTATTTATGAACATTCGCCCAAACTGGCAAAGTAAGAGAATTAGTTAATTTTGGAGAATTACCTTCTTCCACTCTCTCATATTTTTACCTCTCACTAAATCTCCTCAGTAAGCGTGGGTGGCTTATCAACCCCCTCCTGGTATTTCAACACAACTTTCGATGAGGAGAATCAACTCTAAATCCATTGTTTACAAAAAATGAAATTTTCGCTTTACAGCTTGCATTTTCAGCTGTGTCTCAATCAACATTGCCCCGTCGCCTCCCTCTGTCTGTTCTACAAATACTTCCATGGAAATTGCTCCGAGGAGCTGCATTCGCTGGTTCCCATACGTCACGAGTTCCAGCGCCTCACGAGGATGGCATCCCGCTCTCACCCCTTCACTGTCGAAACTCCTAAATATAGCCGTCTCTTCTACTCTAATAGCTTCATGTCTCGCACCTCTCGCCTGTGGAACTCCCTTCCCTTTTCCTGTTTCCCTGTGAGCTATAATCTCCAGCTATTCAAGTGTAATGTCAATCGACATCTCCAGTTGCCTTGATCTATCCACTACCCTCATCCTTTCTTCTATCACTCCTATCTGATCTTGCTCTAAATTTTCTGTAACCCCTTGCGTCCTAGTGGCTTCCCGCCTTGCTTGGGGTGAAATGCTTAAAAAAATAAAAAATAAAAAAAATAAGTCTGGGTCACTTTTCCATTGTTCAAAATGCTCGACATACAATTCAAGTCGTTTATGTGTGAATTAAATCCTCAATTCTTCACACAGGTTTTTGGTATTAACCATTCTCGTTTCAACGTCTCTCAATACACAACACTTTCTCATGTTTTAACAAGACCTTCTTCCGTTTTACCGCGGCAACGACAAACAGTATCAACAAAATATCCGTAGAAATTTCCCCATCGCATCATTAAATATTTGATCCTAACAACTTTAATATTGCAATAACAATCATAAATATGAATGCTGGTCATTATTTTAAGAAAGGAGTACAAATGAAAACATTTGAAATTGATAACCTTTTCCATTTGATGAAAACATCCCTTAAAGACTTCTAATTTCTCTTCTTTCCTTCTTTCTTTTTTTTCCTCACTGAAATAGCGCCTCTAATATATCCCACTTAAATCAACTTGTCTTTTTTCTCTTTCCATGTGATTCATTATTTATGAATGTCTTGACATTTGTATTTTTCTTTCTTTCTTTCTTTCTTTCTTTCTTTCTTTCATTCATTCTTTCCAAATCCCTGTCTTACGAACATTTCTCCTTATAATAATTTTAAAATAATTCAGCAGACGACGATAGCATATATAATTTTTGTAATTGGATTTTTAGTTATTGCCTTATTCGGTTCCCGTTTTTCGATGCTGTGCGCCTGAAAAATGTTGTTGGTCTGTTGACTGGTATCAAATTATAGTTAATTGGCTAGTTTAAATATGAAGGGATTCAAGGACAGAGACGTTTGCTTCGAGATCAGGAGTCCTTGAGTGACTACAATCCAGGAAACCCATTTCATCTGAGACATGGATATCAATGTGCTGAGACATTTGACGTTTTTCAGCTTAACTGTTCGCGGAGGAGGAACTCCATCTTGGTCAGTAGGTGCCAGGATGCGGGTGTACATATTGTTCATGCGGGTGGGAATAGGCACCTGATTATGATGGATATAAGTAGTCCCTTCCGACTAGTTGCGATATATACACCCAATAATAAAAGTAAGCGAGGCTCTGTCTTTGGTCGGCTCGGCCAATTTTTGACTGCCCCATGCTTATTGGTCCCGAAGGGGCACTGCATGCCATCTTCGAATATGAAAAGAGGACGGGGACTGGGTGAACATTCCAGATACAGTTTTTCAAGAGCTCCTCAGGGACCGGTTCAGAGAAGATCACCCAAACCGCAAGATGAGAACATGGGCGCACAACTGGCCCTCTATCAGCAACATTTGTTACCTGGATAAAGTGCTGGTTCGTAAAGTTTACACCAATTTTACAGATTGCTTATCGTTTCGATATTTACTTATCCCTGAACCGGTAAATGCATATAGGTGCAAATATAAACGAATAATATTTATCTATCTCTGTACCGAATAACTGCTTATAAATATATAAAAAAAATTACAGCATAAAATTACCAACCAAGTGTTGATACTTCATAAAATTTACCAAATAGGTTTACCTTTCGTCTGTTTCACACTTCTCCCTGTTTTCTCTTATTTTTAAA